AATCCGATAGCTTTAATCTCATAAGTAAATTTCCTTCTCATTGGTCAATAAATCACAATAATACCACAGCTAAATCAAATTCAAGTGCAGAAATTGAGACTTGTATGCTAAAAAGGGAGAAGCTCTCACCAGGTTTCGGCAACGGCGGCGAACTTGGCGAGCTCGTACTGGTTCAGAGACGATGGGGAAGGAGAATGAGGGTTTAGCGGCGGTGGAGCCGGAAGAGGCTCGGTTAGAGGAGGAGAGTCTGAGAAGAGTCTGGTTGCACTGTGAATGCTCGAGAGCCGTGGGCTGAGATTGCGGTGGAGGATTGTGGAGCTGGTGTGCGGTGCTCGGAGTTGCTTCAGGAGCTTCAAAGCCACAGCCATGGCGATTTTGCTGAGAGAAAGTGAAATTGAACGAAGAAGAAAGGAAGGGAATCGGTGGGTTTTTTTTCAGTTTTTGTACGGGATCCGGGTCTGGTCTGCAAATAGAGTCCGGCAAAGGAATCCTTTGGGTTGGGTTTATGGGTGGGATTGGGTTTAGGCTTTTGGGTGGGATGGTGAAGGCCCAAAATATGGCCCATCCTTTTTGTCTGGTCTGCAAATTCGTTTTTGATCGGCTTTGGAAAAAAAATAAAAAAATTATTTGTTTGGAAATGCATTTATAATGTCTGAAAGCTTTATTGGTAAAAATATTTTGGGATTCTAAAACACTTGAAACGCATTGTTAAAGAAATACCAGTTATCTGTTTTTTTTTTTTTCAGGAAACACTTCAAGTATTTTTTCAAACATTATTTGTATTTTTACTAAAAAATTTGGTTCAAAAGCTCTTTCAAACATGCGTAAAAACCACATGTCAAATTATTTTTATAAGAAGCACTTTTCAAGTGTTTGTTCATAAAGCAAGCACTTAGACATTTAATAAAAATTTAACATGTTTCTAATGAAAGCACTTCTACTTATGAATATTTTATGACCAAAAGTGTTTCTTATAGAAGCAATTTCAAACGAGTCATTCTCTTTATTTATTTTTCCCTAGAGTTTGAATGGGATTATGTGTTTGAAAAGAAAAGTAGAAAACCCTACTTTAAAAATGCCGTTCCACTAAGAAAGGGCAATTGAATCCTTTTTCTAATTTCTCCTTTGTAGATAAAACCAAATCATATACAATAATCTCTTCAATAATCTGAGTCTGACCAAAACAAATCAACGAACAATTGAGTAATCAGTTGAGATATGCATTCGAGAGATAACCAAGGAATAATGCTCCTAATTTAACTTGACAAGTATCATAAAAAAAAAGTTAGCCTCGCAACAAACATGTTTCACGTCAATTTCAACTTTTTTTTTTTTTTTACTTCAAATCAAAGAGCTGTGCATGACTTGGGGTCCAAATCAAGAGAGGGGAAAACCTCTAGTCAGTTACATAGCAAGTTAAAATGCACTTACCAAAAAATCTTTCAAAAAATATGCAAATGAAACATATCAATTATGTCTGTAGTTGTACAATCTTGTAGTCAATCAGATTCTGGATTTAAAATATCTTTGTCATGATAAAAGAAGAGAAGAGACGAGAGTCGAAATCGACTTTTCAAAAGGAGAGAGAGAGAGAGAGAGAGAGAGAGAGAGAGAGAGAGAGAGAGAGAGAGAGAGAGAGAGAGAGAGAGAGAGAGAGAGAGAGAGAGAGAGAGAGAGAGAGAGCCAAGAAAAACTCCTTCATTGTTTGAACCTTCATATTCATCGTCTCCGCAATATACAAGCCCTTGATGCAAAATAAACCTCATACAAAACAATTGATACACCCAATATAGTTTTACATTCTTTTTGGTGCTATTCCGTCCTCCAACATGACCATGCAACCTTTCCTTCTTCCAATTCCAAAACCCTTTACTAACAAAGCAATCACCGCGGGCTTGCTCTCCTGTATTTAGCTTAAACAGATAACAGCATAGACAACATGAAGCATCTTTCACTATACTATCTTCCAACCAGTCGGAAACTCATAAACCAAGCAGATATAAACCTTCTCGGTCCCCCACTAGTATTCTTGTGGGGGAAGTCCTGGTATGAAGTCTGAAAATGACCTTTTTGTATACGTACTCCTCGAACTTGCTCTCGAACTCGAACATTTGGATGCTAATCCCAAATTCGAGTGCGCAGCAAGGGATCAACAGGAAGATCTTCCAAGTTGATTTCGATGCAAGCTTGTTTCGAGCTTTTGTCCTTCTCCTTCGGAGACGATGACGACTCCATTGACTCATCATATGATTTTCTTTTCAAACACCTTTCCATGGCCGCTCTGCTTCAAAATTTTGGGTCTTTTAGCAAATATATCATACGAACCAGAAATTCTTCAAAATCCCAATAATTATTCCAGTATCATCCAACAACCAGAAATACTACAAAATTCTTCCTGTATTACTGCAAGGGTACACGAAAAATCCATTGGATTAAATTTACAGAGGAAAAAGTAAAAAATAAAATAAAATAAAATAAAACAGGGGCTTTTTACCTCTGGTGAGATGCAGAGAGCCAAAGGGAAGAGAAATTGGTGCTTCAGAGATCACTGGGCGTGCGTATGAGTGAGAAAGGGTGACATTTGAGAGTGAGAAGGAGAGGGTTAAAAGAGGTTTTGAGTCCTCAAATGTCTGAGAGGGAGAAAGCGAGGGAAACAGAGGCGAGGAAAGAACTTGCAGGCAGCGGGTAGGGTAGTGGGGGCACTCTGGGCTTTAAGGGCATTTTCGTGTTTTTGTCCGACCAAAATTTTTTTTTTTAAATTTTTTTTTCTTTAATACAATGATTACACAAACTCGTCACTCCAATTTTTTTTTCTTACAAGTGATGATGAATACCACTAAATCACAATACTGAATGCCAATTGTTAACAATGATCTATTTACACAAACTCAAAATGGACAAGACTTAAGAGTACAAGAGAGGGTCGAGTAGGCCACTTCATAGACAACAAATTTTTTTTCAAGATAGATATGTTGGGTACTACAATTCCAGTTACATTATTAATATATAATATCAATATTATTTGTAGTTTGATATAAATATTTAGACAATCAAAATTTGTCGTTCAGTCAAATAGTGCAAAAGAGATAAATTAAGGTCAAATGTGAAATTTTCAGAAAGATGTTATTTCTTACTTAGGAGTGAAAAGGTAGAGTAAAATATTGTTAGCCAGTGAAAGAGAGAATCAAAGAGTGGAGGAGGAACTATTTTGCGATTCATACGTGTAATCCTAGCTTAGGAGTCACACTAATCTTCTCTGTATCGTTCTATTTTTATGAGATGCACGTGAAGGAGATTTCATGGTGGTTTGCTCACAACGAATTTAAGAGAACATTGATGCTCGAATGATGAAGATTTTGGTTGTCAAATTGGGCTCTTATTTGCTACGGAGTTCAAGTTTCAATTTAATGTTTTGGAGGGAGACACAAAATGGGTGATTGATTAATTACGATCTCTAACGAAATCCAACACAAAGGAGCTTGATGGCGTGACCAATGCTCCAAAACTTCATAATTTTAAGATAAAATCCAATTGTAGTATGAAAAAAATTCACATTGGGGTATTTTGGATGCTGGAATCGGAACATTCGGTTCATTAAAACGACACTTATATAAGAAAAAGACAAGGATTGAGCTTTCCAAATTCTTCTTCTTTGCGACGGTGGGCTCCGCAAATCATGGATGCCATATTGCAAAATCCAGCAAATCATGGTGGGCTCTGTCAGTTTACCTTTATTTTTCATTTCTATTTCAAATTATTTTATTTATTTTTCTTTTCATTTTTGTTTCTTTTTATTTAGATGTGTATTAAAAGTAAAATTAATGGTATTTTTTTTTATTTGTAATTTGTAAGTGAAAAATTTTATATTCAATTATCATCAAATACGAATTTGAATTATATTACTTCTAGTCACAATTATCATTAAAACGTATTCCATCTCATCTCACATACCAAAATCAATTTTGGTGATAGATTATATCGTATATTCTATATAAAAAATGAGAAATTAGGTTCTCATCCTTTTTTTTCCTACTCCTTTGATCTTATTCCTTTTCATTTTTTTTATCAAGGTCCTTGGTATTAATAACATCATTAAAATTATTTCAATAATAAAATATTTTTTATTTCTAAATATATTCACTTAATGTTAAAAACGTTACAATTAATATATTTATATTTATGGCTAAATTTTTTATCATATATTTTTATATTTAGTTTGTACCATTTTTTAATTTCCAACCTTTTCTTAATTTTTATCAATTTTCTTTTCAGTTTTAATTTATACCCATATATTTTTTTTTGTGCCCATATTTTATAAAGTTTTATTTGTATTTGTACCCATATTTTTTTATTTATTTGTACCCATTTTTAATTTTGCTAAATGTACCCATGCTAATTATATGTACCATTCATGTAATTTTTTTTCAAATTTTTAATCTTAAAATGTACTCATTCTTAAATATACCAATTTGTTATATGTAAAATTTACCATTTTTTTTATATAAAATATATTCAATATTTATTTTTCTAATCCATTTTTAAACTTATATGGGTACATTTTTTTTTTCTTTGATTTGAGAATGTATCCATGTTAAGTTTAATCAAATAAATTTACTAATTTTATCAAGCCTAATATCTTATTATTATTTTTTTTTATGATTTTGAAGAATGTACCCATGTTTTGATACACTAATTTGTTGGTTAATTTTTTATGAATGTACCCATGTTTGTACACACACACATAATAGTATGTTTATATTTTAATATTTTTAATCCCACAAATTATGGTTTTTTATTTAAAATGTCATTAATATAAACAACTATAAATTTCCATTTTTTATTTTAAAAAATATAGTAACGTACATAAAAATAAATTATCACATTAATTTTCAAGGGCTTAGATCAAAAATTGAAAACCAACAAGGTTTTAATCAAAGAATATTTATAGTTAAGTACCGCATTTAAAATCATCCTAAAAAAAATACGGAAAAGAATTAAGATGTAAAAAGTGGGAGAAACCCATCTCTCCTCCCGTATCCTCTCTCCTCCTCATCTTTTGAGCCGCAACAGGAGCCCCATTAAACAGCAAGCCGACGACTGCCGAGTGCCGGCGCAACAGCTCTGTCGTCCACGGGTCACCAAAGGCTCTCAAACGACACATCCAGAATGCTCTTACCGTCCTTTATCCAATCCCCAAGTTAGTTTCTATAAATTCGTAGGCGATTTTCCTCAACTTCAAATTTAAGAAACGGTGACCCAGGGTTTTCCGGCCAACTTCCGGCCATATCGCCGGAATTGGAGCTCGACCCAAGTGGTAGAAATGATCCTCTTCTCGTGGGCTGTTCTCCAATGTAAGTTATTTTTCTAAAATCTCAACTTTCAATTTTGGGATTGATTTTGGATTTCGAATTTTTATTCGATATTCTGTATGAATGTCGGAGATGAGACTTCTGGTATTGCACTCTGTAGATGAAGCATGTCTATAACATGATGTGGGATTGAACTCTGTAGAACCTTGTATTGTTTTGAAATAGCAATGAATGAACTCTTTTGCATAGGTATTATAAAAATTCATGGAAAGAATGTGAAAAATATGGTAGGAAATTAGAAAATGGGGCCAAAATCATGTTATGATGAACTCAAATTTCAGCCCAAAACCCAAAATTCAATCCCGACCCATCCTGATATCGAAAACATTTTGTGAATCCCGAAAATTAGGAATACCGAAATTTTGATTTGAGATTGGTTTTCAAATTCTCGTTTTGAAAATTTTCGATTTGGGATTCGAAATTCCATTTTCAGTTTGGAACCCCATACAGAGCCACCCCTACACACACTAATTTACTAATTCTAATTCAAAGTCTTTTACAAGTCTTGCTTGTGTTTTGTCTCCATCTGTGTGTGTCTGACTGCGAGTGTCCCACAACTGGCAGCCTTAAAAGATTGCAAGTCTTTAATTGTGATCCTTGAAATATATCTGTGATCGGAGCAGTCTGCCCCCACCACCCTCCTCATAATTTGCTTCGGAACTCCTTCCCCTCTCCCTCTCTCGTTCAGCAAAGCCATTGCTCGAAACTGACACACAAATAAAGACAGTGATCGAGGGAGGAGGGAGACATTGATATTTTGATTGAGGATAGAGAAAAAACATCTCCACCTGCTCTATAACCCCACCATGTTTGATCTCTGAATGCCGCAACTTTAACACTTCACCATTTCACGCCATTTCTCTTTCTGGGTTTCACGAATGTCAGCTCCCGAGACAATCCACCACCGCCGTTTGGCCACCGGAGGCAGTGGCGCGTCGGACTCAGATGGCTCTGACGACAGCCAGTGTTGTTCAGTGGAGAGAGTGGGGTTTCGGAGGTGAAGAAGGTGGTGCATTTGAGTAAAGTTGAGAGAAATTGCAGGAATGACTTGGGTTTGGAGGGAGGTGGTGGGACCGACCGACCCTGCCTCTGGGTCCCGATTGACTTGGGGTGTTCTTGCAAGGGGGATTTGGGTGCTGCTCATAAGCAATGTGCTGAGACTAAGTTCAAGATCAAGGGAGATACTTGAGTACAAAAATTTTCAGATTTAATTTATTATTTTCTTTGACTTTTGGTGTCTCTGCTTGAAATTATGAACACCCATTTGCTGGATTGTGAATGTTTGTTATGCTTGCGTGTTTAATGATAGTCCGAAAACTTTAGGATTATGTTTTGTTCTGTTTCTGCATTGAAGTGCAAGCACATGGATGTAATTGGTTTCCGGAGTCGCTCTTTCACTTTTGATGTGGCATTTACATTAGTGGAAAGTGCGAGGTCCAATGCAAGCTAAAGGAAGTGTGTCTGTATACAAGAATTGAGCTCCTACGTTGAAAATGTTTAAATTATGCATATGGATTAGTAAATGATGAGAAGCATTTTCATTCTTTGGTTCCGTCACAAGTTTATTTCGTTTATACATTTGGAAGATTTTCTATACTCGAAGGATGATAATTTGGTAAAGTTCTTAGGACCTTGCACGCTATACCCTCTCCAAAGGAAATATCTAAACTTAGGCTACAGGAAATATAATCTAGGTAAGCTGCATCACATGATATTACAATGACGTACATACATCATAGATGGATTGGTGAAGACTTGCTGGGTTGGTAACCAGGATGAGGAGAAGATATGCAAGAACAGCAAGCAAGTTCAAATTTCATTTTACTCATCATGGTAAGGAAATGGAATGATATCTTGACGACATGACTTTTTCCCAGAAACAGAAATAGAAGATGGCCTTTGAAATCACTTATAGTGATTGTATAGCATTCTTTTCTATATTTTTGATATTTGTATGCTCTTGGTTACACTTCATTATGTTTGTTCAAAATCCTCATGGTATGTTTCTTCATTGTGTTGTGTTATGGTTGCAATTACTTGTCTTGCCTGACTGACATGTTATTTCTGCCTATGTATTTTTCTTTCTTACCTCAATCTGGTCTTGTTTTCGCATGAAGTTATTTTCGTCCACCGGTCACCAACGGCCGTCAAATTACATATCCAGACTCCTCTTTCCGTCCTCTTTCCAACTCCCAAGTTAGTTTCTATAGATTCGTAGCCAAGTTTCCTGAATTTCAGATCAAAGAAACGGTGACCGTGGTTTTCCTGCCAGTATTCTTGACCCAAGAGGTATAAATGATCCTGTCCTGGTGGGCTGTCCTCCGATGTAAGTTCTTTTCCAAAATTTCAACTTTCAGTTTTGGGATCGATTCTTGATTTCAAATTTTTATTTGATTTGTGTTAATTGTTCTAAGAGGTCGCACTTGGTGCGATGGCAAGTGCCTTCGCCCATGAGCGGTAGGTTTCAGGTTCGAGACTTGGGAGCAGCCTCTTTATAAATGGGGGTAAGGCTAGCCGACATTCACCTCTCCCAGACCCTGCGTAAAGCGGAAGCCTTGTGCACTGGGTACGACCTTTTTGTGTTAATTGTTCTATCTGTGATATTTTTGGAGCCCCTAGATTGAACTCTTTTGCATAGGTATTATAAAATTCATGGAAAGAATGTGAAAATGTGGTAGGAAATTAGAAAATGGGGGCCAAAATCATGTTATGATGAAGGCAATTGCGTAGCCTGATTCCGTGTTTATTCATAATGCTTGTAGTTTGAGTGTTTGCAAGTTTGAGTAGTGTAAAGTTTTTCTTGTTTTAATCTTAATTCATTTATTTTTACATAAGCATTTCTCATTTCTTCGGGCAAATAAACAAACATTAATAATGCGAACTTAGATACAAACAGTAACAATTGCACTCGAAATTTATCATACATGCATAAAATAAGCAACACAAATAGTATTTTTGGAATGAAAGTCTGGTGCAACAAATGACATTTTATTGGTTTGTACATATGAGATAGTAAACGAATTGTTGAAGCCACAACCTTCTTTGAATTGTTGTTCTGCATGCATTGGAGAATATTAGAAATCACTGAAACTCAAATAAGTTGAAACGGTTATGCTTATTGTATATATTTGTTTCCGAAAATAGCAGTTTTTACTAAACCTAGAAGAAGTTGAAGATGGAGACATGTTAACCTTTGTGCTTGATCAATTAATTGTGTTCGTCCTCCCTGTCGATTTCATCATCTTCACCCTTCCTGTGTTAGAAATAAAAGACAGAAGTTTTCTTGAGATATAATTGAGTTTTCAAAAGAAGAAAAACATATCTAAATACACTCTAGTGTGCACATACGCACATACATATATACAGATATATATATATATATGTGTGTGTGTGTGTGTATATAGTTTTGACTAAGTTTTGATTACACTTTCGTCAAACTAAATCTGAACTGTTGATTATGCTTTGCCTAAATTTGTTGTCAAAATTTTTGTGGTGTTGCCATAAATGATTGGAAATTAAAAACCTTATATTAAAGCATACCTTGTGACGTAAATATTCCTTAGAGTGGCATTGAGGTCCCCCTTCCATTCAACCACTCCCAACGCGGTGCGTACTTGCAATCGGGGATGTGTGGCAATAAGCTTTGGAGCGAATAGGCTTAAGTTTTGCACGTCAGTAACCACCAAGACCTCCAAAGACGGCAACTTCAAAGTATAAGCTTCACCACAAAAATACTTGAGTTTTGGCAGACTTCGAAGCCACATGATCTTCACTTTAGGTAACGTAATTATTTCATCAGTTTCTTCTTCTGCGGCAACGATTTCTTCCATCTTCTCACAGAATTCAACTTCTATGTCCTCTATACTCACAAGAAGTTTGACTGTGGACGATGAAAACAAGTATTTCAACTGGTTGCAAAAACCGACCTTCAGCGATTTCAAGTTTCCGAAGCTGCTTCCTGTCAACATCGGTTGTGAACTATCCGTTTCCCAAACACGCGTTAAACTTGGCAATGTATATAACTTCAAGAACCTCAATTTATTGAATGCTTCAACGGAGTGACTATTTTCTTCATGCTTCGGTCCCTTGAGTTGGAAAATCACTTCCATTGATTTACACTCACGTACAATAAGACTTTCGAGATTATCATCATCATTTGAGTCCTCAAGATTAGTTGGTGTAACCTGGAAAATTAAACACGATCAACAAGATGATACAATACTAATTAAAAGTTGTACTTATGGAGGTTAATTGAACCTAATTTAAAAGCTTACCTCCAAATTAATTGGACGTGGCAATATTTCAATGGGGCGGTGGGCGTTTGGTCTTGAGTATGGTGCGCATCCACATCCAGCAGGGCACCAATTCGATGAACGTGTTGGAGAAGTGCTGAAATCACGACTTGTTGAATCCTTCTTCAAGTTATTCTCCAACTTCTTTCTTTGTGGAATTACAGCATCCAATGTCTTTAAATTTTCACGCGCATATTTTTTGTGGATGAGCACAGAAATGTAAATCCCTCTGGACAAAGACTTGTGAGACGAGGCAGGTATTCTAGTTCAAATGTGTTCAGTTTCGGAAACAAAATCATGTATTTTGTCGCCTCTTCTTCATTTTCCTCTGTGATTCTGACTATAGTTTCCATGTCCGGACAGCCAATTATCTTTACCTCTTCAAGATTCAAAAGTTCTCGGGCAATTAAATGCGAGAACACATATTTTAGACCAGAACAACTAAATATCATCAAATATCTCAAATTTTGGAAGCCCTGAAATCCAGACAGAATGTTTTTCCACAAGTGTGTAAACGAACAAGCCCATATCTCCAAGTTACGTAACTGGGGAAATATTGGAGTTGTCTGGCCATGGATTTTCAGATCAAATAGCACGCCTTCAAAATTCATATCTTCCAATTCTACCTCTTCTAAACTTGGAAACCATGAAATGCACTTTGATGGAAATATTGCTTTTTCAAATATGCC